AAAATAAATAAATAAACAAATAAAATCGGGAATTTGGGCGTGCTGAATTTGCGTTGTGTAAACTCTGTTTTTTTTTCTTCTTTTTTTTGCATGTGTGGTCAGTCGCCCGACGTCACCCATAACAAAAGACAATTGTGAGGGCCGCTGAAGAAAAACACAGTCCAGCTGTACTGGTGGGGATCCATGGTTTGCTCAAACAGCAACCAGATGACCAGGGATTCTGCAGCTCTGTAGCTCAGCTCTAAAGCTTATTTACAGAGGCTCTCAACCTGCCTTGCTCTTTTCACCTTTGTTAAAGACATAAACCCTTCACATCCTTTGCTCTGTCACATGATTCCAGTGACAAGTTCCAGTCAAGGGTACTGACCTGCCCTTGTTTTCTTACCCTAGCTGAACTGGGTTCATCTGATGCAGTGCTGGTAGAATAAGGTTTCATGAACCCCACAATTGGTGTCAGTTACAGAGTCCTTTGAACCAATGGAAAAGCTTTGCTCTGACACAGAAAAGCTCAATGACTGGCTAAACTCAGTCAGGTACTGACAGTGTATGGTAGCTCCGCCCATTTGTGGTGTCATGAAACCTTGTTCTTTCATTGCTAAACTAAAGGCATTCAATGCAAAATGATATGGCCTTAATCCACCACACTAATCACTGAAGCTTATCAATCCCACGTTCACATGCAATCCAATGCACAGATCATTTTACTGCATCCCAGTAAACACTGAGGCCTGGGGCTTCAGCTCTAGGTTTGCAAGCAAACAATAAGCCTACATGGGCTCCTATGTCAACATACTTTTGCATGTCCTTAAACAAATGACCAAATGAAAAAATACATATTCACTTGAGCACATCTTGTGAACTACTGTTGTTTCAACAGCAGGTCTGTTGAGCAGAACCGAGCAAACAATGTCACCCTAGGTGGACATGTGAATCTAAAACTATGGGCAAAAACACGCCCAATACACAGAGATGTCTGGATCTTTTTATTTCTGGATTTGAAATAATGTGGTTTTAGGGGAAATCTTGAGTGAGCATTTAATTAAGTTCAAATTTACAGTGCTTTAGGTCTGCAATGGGAACATTTCTGCAAGCATGAAGTATCAAAGTAGCACCTTTGCAGAATTCTGTGCAACTGTATGGATCACATGAACATCTAGACATATAAAATTAGGATGCATAATCAGGGGCATAGCTAGACATTCAGGGCCCTGTACACAGTCAGGCTCTGAGGGCCCCTCCACTCTTTATAAAAACAAATTCCCAGATTTCCTTGGGCCCTGTGTACTTAGTACCCTTCTCCCCCCTGGTGCTATGCCCCTGTGCATGACACCCAAAGCAGTACAAACAGTAACACAAGCCTATAAAGTTCAATCTGGATTTAATATGGTGAATATCCACAAGACTACAAACATGCTTCAGAAATGGCCTGTTTTTTAAGTGTGCCCAAAACATATGAAATCATGTCATGCCTTCAGATATGGGCCGTTTTCACCCACTGAGCGTGCGGGACCTGTGGCAGCAGCAGGGCCCCTGCCGTGTGTCTGTTTTTTGGGGAGGGGGAACAGAATTGCCGCTCCACCCAGTAGCAATGAGACACACAGCACTGTGAGACCTCTGGCAGATGCAGGGAGGAACCCGCTGTCCCCAAGCTCAAATTTTGGTCAGGAAAACCACATAATGCCTCTGTAATGCTGCATGAGTAACAAAAAGCCACGGATTGGGTGGAGGGCCCGAATTTTCTCTGTGTGTTTGTAAATGTCTGTATTTTGCGGCTTTGTTAGTAGCGTATCAACCTGACATCAGAGCGCCCAAGAAATGTGGCTGGTGCCTGTGCTGACAAAGGAGCCCAGAGCACTTGGTGAGTGTGAGCGCAGTGTCAAGACAACACTGTCTCTCATCAGCGACATGCCAGCAAACTGCAAACAGCACACAATGGCAACAATAAAACAGCAAAGCTTCTCAGCCTTGCTGAAGAAGTATCAACTCTATTTTCTGAATGTGTTGTGAATGTGTCTTTCCTTTCCGTGAGGATCAGTGGCAGAGGGGAAGATGTAGCAGTAACCCTGCGTGAAGTGGAAAGTCAGTTTTTTTTTCTTTCTCGAGCACAGCATTTTTAAGGTGCTACATTCTGCACCTTCTCGTTGGTGAGCTCTGGTCTTTTTATCTGATTGACGTGCAGCACCTCCGTAAGACAATATACACCCAAGAGCCTTACCGGTCTGGACTCATCCAGAAAAAAAAAACTGCATGTGAGGTGCACAGTGTTTGAGCAGAGGAGACAGAGCCCTGTACTGGTCAAAAGAGCAGCCAAAGATGTTGGAACAGGGCTGGTTCACACGGGCATGCTTCAACTGCTCTGCAGCCTAAGCTGACATGACACAGCCGAGCTCCTGCCATTGACACCCAAGAGCCAGAAAATACACCCTTTTCTTCAAATAAAAATGTTATACAGCAAATAGATATGACTGTATCTGTTGTTTAACAGCAACTGTAATTTTTTTTTTGTTTTCCTGGAAGGTGTAAGGCTTTAAAAAGTACAAAATCGTACAGTGCTTTATCACTTTTTAGAAAACACATAAAGTAATGTGCACTGAGGAAAGATTCTGGAGATGCACAGCGCATGTAGTACCACAGTGACTGAGATGGTGTCTTGTGTTATTGTGCCAGCAGGCAATTTTGATGGTAACTAAACAACGTGGTATACCATTCCCCTGCAGAATTGCGGGTGATCTTCCTTTTTTTTTTTTAGGAACATTCGCCCAATCCGGCTGTTGTTTTGTACTGTGAAAAGTACCAATTAGACAGACAGTGCCTCTTTGCTAGCATGTCGGTAAGAGGGGAAATGAACTCTCCAGAACTATTATTAAGGCTTCCTTTTGGGTGAATCTGCATATTAAGGCCCGCTGTATCTGTATATCACTGTACTTCTGATGGGGCTTTCAGCTGAATGGGACCAAAATAAGAGCTTCGTTCCCATCCACACTCGCTCATCGGCAGGAGAAAAACAGCTCCCCCTCTTTTTGTTTTCGCATTGTCTGAAAAAGACACAAACACGAGGCGAAGAGCTAGGATCGCAGTATTTACGAAATAATCAAATGTCTCAACGTCTGTTTAAAATGCTTAAAATAATTTACATAACAATAATTCTCCGGGGTTCACTGAAAGCTGAAACAAGAGGTAAACAGACAGTTTCCTCCAATTAGAGGCAGTGGTGCTAGAGGGGTGGATTTGGGTGGGTGTGGGGAGGGAGGGGGGTTGCTGGGCTCCTTTTTTAGTTTGGTAGAAGAGCCTAGATTTCCTTTATGCTTCTCCTACCCCTCTCAGCCCTGATGGGTGATTATTGCTCAGAGTCTTCTTTCTCTTCTATTTGTTTTAATGAAGAAAGGGAGAAAAAAATAAACCCAGCAGGCAGAATTAGGGAAGTGCTACTTTGCATTAGCAGGTAAACGTCTCTGCGCCAGGAGCGCCTCGATGCGCTCGTCGGGCCCACCCCGCGGGAGCAGTGGATGACATCGATTCTCACCTCCGTCACGCTCCTGCCTCCGGCACACACATTTCCCATCAGCACCTCTGGCTGAGGTGAGGCAGACAGAAGGCGGGGTGCGGGGGGATGGGGGGGGGGGGTGCGCGTTTGTTTGGAGCGTGCCAGTTGGGTGGGGCTGAGTGAACCATAAAGGGATGAAGCATGTCCTTGACTAGCAGCAGTTAGAAATAAACACATACAAAGCACTATGAAATCTTTTAGAGCCTCTGTTTGTTCCTCAGTGGAATATAATTAAATATCTCACCGATTATTTTCCTGAAAGCTCCATCACCCTATACAGTACACTGTATTTTTTTGTAAACTATTTAAAAGCAAGACCATTTTCAGATGTGCCAATTTGTCAGTCGCAGTACCACTGAAGGAGGCCCAAAGCTTGCTTTTGTTTGTGGAAGTTTTGGTGCAGCTGGTGGGTTCAGAGCTCAATGTACTCTGCCTGAAAGTCCTTCTGTTGACATTTCTGATGATACGCACATGACAACCACAAAAAAAAAAAAAATTTCAAGTGTCCGGCTTTGTGATTTAAGAGTTAGCATCTGAACTCAAGGCCAAAGGCCCATAGCTGCCCAGAGGACAGCCGCTGCCCAGCCTGGTTTATCCAAGCAGTGCTGAGGCACAGTTACTGCTGGCCTGGTATGTCCAGATCAACGGGGTCAACAACAACCTCTGCTGCCAATGCTAACTTCAGCCGAAAACATACCCCCCTTTATACAGTGCCTGATGGTAGGACACCCCTAAAGCACTTTGCTAATAAACCAAAGGTCATTCACCACGTATTATTAATCCTACAAAGGAGTGGATTAGAGCATTGATAAATTACCTGGGTTAACTGGTATTCATCCTCACGCATCTGTAAGAGCCAATCAGGTTTCAGAAAGCATCGGCCAGGAAAGTTATCTGGAGGCCATGTTGGAGATGGAGCGTCAGGGGCAGAGAATACCCAGTTTGCATTCTTTGCCTTGCAGACACATGGGGGAACTGGCTATGCAACGTGCACAATTTCACAGCCGTCTCTAACCTATTTAAGCAGCTGAGCTTATTTATTTATTTCTTTACTAGAACAATTGAGGCAGGGCACCTTGCTCGAGAGCAGAACAGCAGCGTGCCCATTGGGATTAAAACCCGTGACCCTCAGGGCTTGAGTCCAGCGCTCTGCCAACGCTGCTCTCCTTGACACCAGGAGCTGACCTTTTCAGGTGTGACCTCCTTTCATATCATTAAGGCTGTGGGTTTTTCACCAGCTGTTTTTCTTGCCTGCATTTCTGTCCTCCAACCACCGGGGGCTGATAAACAGCACTATGTTATCAAAAAGCTAAGGGTGGGGGTGGGGTGTCTTTCTTGTATCTTTGAGGTACAATGGTGGAAACTATTAGTTTTCAGGAACAAAGGGGGGAAATACTAGATGGCTTGTCCAGAGAGGTGTTTTGATTTGCCCTACAGTATATCTTATAGTAAGGTAGGGGATGTAGCTCAGTGGTAGAGCGCATGCTTTGCATGCATGAGGTCCTGGGTTCAATCCCCAGCATCTCCATGTGACTTATATCCCTACAATTCCCTTGTCAAAAATGCTGTATCTATCTATGTCTAATAATTTCACCTCACTGGGGTTAGCAGACTCCAAGCTCCTGCCACTGCAAAAACATAATGTACATACAACAAAGTTCTGTATATCTTACAATTGTAATTTCATATTATTAAATACAATTCAGAGACCTTAACAGTTACCACAAAAATATCCACAAACATATCAGGCTGATAGCTGAACAGGCAAACATGTTGATTAGCTTTGACAGACTAATCAACACGTTTCCAGCTGAATCTATGTTTCACATATTTTCACATTTCTCTTTGGAAATATACCTCCCTCCTCAAGAGTATTATTGCACTTGAACCCCAATCTATGCACTTGCCATTGCATTGGAAGCCTCTCTGTATATAAATGCCAGCTGAATGCCGGTAATGTGATGTGAATGGGTGAATATGATAGTAATATTTTCTTCCATTGTGTCTCTAACAGGTGATCAAGTGGCATTTATCACAGCTTATCGACTCTTTTTCACGCAGCTTTGTAGATTCGAGAGGCAGAAGCGGCTCTTTTGACTACCCAGCCACCCTTAGATGTGCGAGCACAGTCTCCACGGAAACGGCAAAGCCAGCTTTTCTTAGAAATGCCGAGGCATAGTCATCAAAGTCTATCTCATGACAAATAAACACAGAAAGAAAGCAAGAAACACCATATTGATTCAGGTGGTATGTAGCACATTGTAGTACTGAGTTTGACACTCATCTTTCCGAAAAAAAAAAAAAAAAAGCCTAGAGGTGATGTGTGTTTTTATTCACAACCATTCCTGCATTTACACCATAACTCCAAACACTTATCCTTGGTGATGTCACTGGATCAATGAGAAAGCACCCAAACATGTAGCTGGGAGGGGGTGGGGGATGGGAACAAAAGCATCAAAACTGGAACAAAAGTCATGCCTGACTCACTGGCTGCATTCTACTGTTCTGAAAACCAAAATCAAGGACGTATAAGTTGGTGGTTAACAGACTTGCTGTGTTGCGTTTATGTATAGCGGTGATAGTGAAAGGTAGCTCGATTATTAGCCTTGCACATTTGTTTTACGGGTACAGGATTTCACATATGCACTCTGTGTCGTATCTCCATAAAAAAGTCCCAATAATAATGTAAGCTTGCTGTCTCTCCAAATAAGTGAAATCATCTGACATGTTGTCAACATGTTGTCACGTACTAGCTGGTTAGTTAGTGGACAAACTATTAATATGCATATCAGCCCTCAATTATATTTATTTAATACATATGAAATGAAATACCCATTTAAGTTACATTTTGAACTGGCAAACATCAAAATGCAAATATATCGAAAGTCAAGATTAATATAGACTGACCTGGGGGGGTTTGGTTTTCAAAGAACAGTCATGAACAGACTTGAAATGCAAATTAATATGAAATGCAAAATATCCTGTCAAAGGAGTTCCAACTTGTCAAGATTCACACAAATCCCGCTGGTCAACCGAACTTGATGTCTAGTGAGAATATTTTATGGATCTGTAGCTGGATGCAGTTTTCCACCCGTTTGCAAATACTTCTGTTATGGCTGTATACTGCAGCAACAAACATTGACATGGACAATTTGAAAATATCAACCTAGAAAGAGTTTTATGGTATAATACAATATAGTTTATTATTTTAATCTTAAAGTATGTATCATTTTAATTCCATCAATGTCATTGTAACATTATGTAGGTCTTAAAATAATTTTGAAAAATGCTTGAGGGAGAAATAAATGGTAAAGGCAGAGATAGGTATGATTTCAATTTGGTGGTGAGAGTTTCAGTCTCTCCCGGGAGCTGCCGCTCAAATGGAACAGACTCCGGCATGTCCCAGCATGCCGCTTGCCCGTTAGACCACAGCCCGAACACGGTGATGCTCCACTCCATGGGGTGGAATCGAGCACGGGGGTGGAGGGGGTTGAAAGACACATCCCGTCTGGTCCTAATATGTCCTCCCAGCAGTCTCTGTTGACTTTCCACAGTGACCAAATGAACCAGACCTCGCAGTGTGTACACTATCGCTTATCAAATGGAAAAAAAGGAGGGGGCCATTGTGTTGTTTTTGTCCTCAGGTCTTCAGTATGAGTGTGGTTTGATTGTTGCCGTCATTGCTAGCTAGCTTTTTTTTTATTTTTTTATAATAATATTTCTCTTATTGGTCCAGACACTGAGGTGACTCATTGGTTCATTGGCTGTATCCTGGGCATGTGCGTTCATGGTTGAGACAAAAACTGTTAACAAAAGTCCTGGTTTAAAAAAAAAACAAAAACCATTTTTTTCCATCTGGGCTAGCAGTGAGGATGCCGCTGTCAGCGCATCGGTTCTTGGACTTATTCTCGAACGTCTCCCAAGAATAAGATTGTTCAGCAGACATATTTTACAGGTCACCCTCAGCAGAGAGGGATTTTCATCGCCACTGCCCACGTGCGGCACAGCCGCTGGGCACAGAGCAAAGGCTCCTGGAAAATGGAGTTTCCTGCCAAGTATAGCTTCGCCCCCGGGGGCCGCATGAGTCCAACAGCTAAAGTAAATGGAGGCCGATGCTGGATTTGGCCGTTACCTTCATCTGCTAGCACGAAGAGGAGTGAGAACCAGCAATCCAACACCATGCTGTACAAAGCCAAATGCTTTGACACAAATGTAACTCAATACCTTAAACACTGTCTTTAAACGCTTGACTGGTTTTCCCTCTCTAGCTACATCACAACTTCCATTCTTTGTACTGTATCGCTTTAAATTGAAGTAGACAGGAAAGTTTACAATTTGACATTATAATTAACGGTTTCTAGAAATGGATGTTTGTAGTATTTTCTAACACTATGTAAAACTTATTTTAACATTGTACATATCTTTAGTGCCCAAATGTTTTATGAAGGAAGATATTTTGTGAAATAGTAGATTACTTTCTGACAGAGCAATCTGATTTTACAGCATGTTTCTTGAAATGAATGACATTATCATGTTATCATCATCCAGAAGCATTGCACTTTAAAAAGTAAACAGCATCAGAGTGGTGAGAATTGCATAAGTGCAGAATTGTACAAATTATTTTTGTTTCAGTGAATCGTATATTTATTTAATGTCTAGATGTAACGACTATTTCTATTATCAATAAATATAACAAAAGCACATGTTTGATATTTACATATTACTTCATATGTAAGTATGCAAATTTTACACAAAAAGCAGGGGTGATAAGGAGACTCGACACAGTAAAATAATGTAGGAGGATTGGGGATTTATAAGAATATGTTGTACATGACTGAGAACACAGACACACACACACATATACAAAGCAAACAGTTAACAAATAGTGGCCTGATTATAAGTCAGTAGAATGTATTGAAACTTAAAATCCAACAATGGTTTGCCCATTGTTATTTGCAGGTTTAGAAACAGAAAATAAGAATGACCGCAGCCTTATTTGAAAAGTCAGATTAAGGGAGCGTGTGGGTGGGGGGTCTCTCACCAGGCAGGTGTCTGAGTCTCTTTCAGTGGCCTTCAGGGCCTGGAAGCCATCACTAAGCTCCTGTCTGCTCCCAGCACCAATCAGCTTCAGTGGAGTGTGCCATGCCCCGCCCACCACGGCTCAGCTCCCTGGGAACCCTTGTCTGTTGATTGGTGGTAGGGGGGCGGACATTTTGAAGAGTGGCCGAGTCTGTGTTGATTCTGTGTCTTGCTGAGCGAGGCCCCAGGGCACTGGAGCTTATCCATCACTCTGATTAATGCGACGCTGAGCGAACCCTCGCCTGGCTTCATTAGCCATCTGAGCCGCTGCCTTATTTTCCCTGCAGCGCTTCCAATGCAGCGTCTTTTTACAACTTCACAAATACTAATGTAATGAATCACTAGTAACTTGCGTAACTACAACCTGCGAGTGATAATAATAACAGTGGTAATAATAATAAAAAAAAAAATAATAATAATGTAACAACAACAACAACAAAACAACTATTTTTTCATTATTATGTAATCTAATTGTTAATATTTATTATTAATAAACTTTGGGAATACGGAAGGTTCTTGATTTGACAGGCTATCATTTTTCATTTTTACCATGGTGTTTAAATACTGCAGCTAATGGGAGTGAAGGAGGAAGGAAATCTCACCTCAGATGCATGATCCACAGTATCACTTCAGCTCCATTTGGATCGCATGCTCAAAGTGCCTGTTCGCTGGCTCAGGGCAGCCATCCAATAGCGCTGGAAGAGGGAACTGGAGAGAGAGAGAGAGAGAGAGAGAGAGAGAGAGAGAGAGCAAGGACAGGAGGGAAAGACAGCAAGAGCAAAGGAGGGGGAAAGAGAGAGAGGGAGAAGGAGAGATTGAGATACCATGAGATGGAGAGAAAGAAAAAAGGGAGACACGGAAAGGGAGAGATATGAAATCAGTGGGAGTGAGTGTGAGGGGGGTGTGTTGGAGGTGGGGTGGGGGGGGCGGTTTTGCTATCCAAACTAATTTTTAAAATCACAACTTTACGTCTAAAGTCAGCATTTTGAATGGCGGCGTGTCCGATCACATTTAACGCGCCCCTTTTACGCGAAGATAAATTTCGGAAATTAGACATACATCTTATTTTTTGGAGAGATACGCTGAGGCTTTTAAGGAAGGCGGAGTGGAGGATTTGAGGGCATTTTGTCATGTCAAAATGTTACAACCCCAGGGGGTAACTTTCAGCACAATTACACAGAGCAGGAACGCTCCAAGTTTTTCCGCTGTGCACACTGTGATATCTTTCAAGGGTTATCCATTTAAATGGTGCAGTTTAACAGGGATAAAACCTGCACAGCTGAAAGAAACTTAGTTATGCCTTCAAGTCTGAAAATCCATGGTGGCCGTGGAAGGATGATCTCAGTTTGCTTCTTAGCAATGCTCTTACATCTCACAATAATAAATTATTAAACTTCACATTCGCTAGAGTCTTCTGTTTAACATGAAATCCCTGGGTTCGTCTCCATG